TTTGATTGATTGACTTTGTTAAAACTAGCTAAACTTCAATCAACATTATTATAACACTTTATTCTTAATCTGTGAATAAGAAACTAAATTTTTATAATCTATCCATGAAAATGACGCACTGGCATTGAAACGTAGAAAAAATAATTTTATTGGTTAGCACAATGAAACATAAAATCGAGGCAATAAAACATAACACCAAAGCAATTAAACATAACACCAAAGCAATTAGCCAGAACAAAGAAACCATATCAATTAGTAAAGAAGACAGTAAAATTAACAGTCACTAATAACAAAAAATGAACAAACACAGGAACAAAGACCTGGGTTAAACAAATTCCCTATATAAACTACCACAAGTGATGGGTTATACAAATTCTCGATATATACGGCAACAAGTGCAGAAAATGATTGATAAATCGAAATAGGTCCTATACGCTTGAGAATAAATGGGAAAATTATATATATATACATATATATATATATATATATATATATATATATATATATATATATATATATATATATATATATATCCGTGATTTACAGTGAATGGTCGACCGATTTGCAATGGTCGATATATATATATTTGGAGGTATTTAACGTCAGAGGTATTTAACGTTGTTGAATCATTTGGGTTTACAACTCATGCCTTTGCGGACGATATTCAAATAATAGCTAATAATGCAATAGATTAATTTCCGTTGGAAATGAAAAGATTTGTAAAATGCTTGTCAGCTGTTGATTTATGGATGTCGCAAAATGGCTTGAAATTAAACCCAAATAAAACTAAACTTTTGCCGGTGGGAACATGGCTGCAGTTGTCAACATTGGAGATAAACTCAATCACAGTTGATGAAGAGATCTTATTTTGTAACAATGCGAGTAATCTGTGTGATTTTTGATTCGAATTTAACAATGAAGCACCATATCAAGAGGGTTTCAAGAGATTGCATGTATCAGATTAGAAGATTGAATCAAATTCGTGGATCATTGAACGTCTCTACGCTTCAGACGCTGGTTCATGCATTTGTTCACTCGAGAGTTGATTACTGCAACAGTTTGTATTATGGATTGCCGGACAAGTCCATCCGTGTATTGCAATCTTTGCAAAATCGTGCGGCTAGGGTTGTGGTTGGCGGTCGATGGGATGTGACGCCTATACTTAAATATTTGCTCTGGCTAACTGTTGATAAGAGAATAATTCACAAAATTGTTATTTTGATGTATAAGGTACTCACAGGTATAGCTCCAAAGTATCTGCAGGATAGGATCAACTGTGATTTGCTACGTCCGACCGGGATTCATCTAAGATCATTTGATATGAATCTGTTGATAGTTCCTGCTACAAACTTGTGTATTGGTTCACGAAGCTTTGCTGTTTCAGGACCGACTGCCTAGAATTATCTGCCGGCTTCGCTCAGGGACACTGGGTTGACCATGACATGCTTCTGAAAGAAACTCAAAACATTTTTGTTTTCGTTACGGTGATATATTAATTTTTTGAACTGTTCTTAAGTGTTTTTTTTCTTTGTAATTGTGTTGAATTGTTGTAATTTTTTCGCAGTCAGATAATTATTTCTACATTTAACTTTATTTTAGTGAGGATATGTTTAATTTTATGTTTAATTTTGTGTTATTTCATTTTTTGATGGCGCTTTTGAATTTTAATTAACTAGCGCTAGATAAATCTTTTGATAATAATATATATATATATATAATTGTTTACAGTGCAGATATATATATATATATATATATATATATATATATATATATATATTATTAATACACATATGTATGTTTGTATTTATTTTATGTATATAACCGATTTTTCAATAAAAAATTGAACAAATAAATAACAAGCCAGTTTGCAGATGATGAACTGAGATGAAAGCCTAAAATATGAAAGCTCTTTCTACATAATAAGTCTCTTCTTGAGCAATTCATTCGTTCCCATGTGGCATCTTTGTTGCTCTTTATATGTATGCATAAATATGTACACGCATATGTATTATGAAAACCATTGTGCTCCTAAATCCATTCAACTACAACCAGTATATAAAATACTTCTCTATTTGATAAGAATTCGTACGTGCATACGAAACAAGTTTTACTATAAATTTTATGTAAATCAATTAATTAATTAATTAAATGTACTAATTTAAATGTATGTTATAAATGTCTGTATGTATGCATGCATTGGTGCGTGTATATGTATTTATGCATTTACATCTATTTAACTAGATTAAAATTTAAACTGCCTAAAATTTATTTGACAACAGCATCATCGCCATTAAAATATTAGACAGCCTGACTATTAAATTTGTGTGATCATTTTTGAGTTTTCGGAAAAATGGGAAACAAATTTACATGAAATTAAAATAATATAAAAATAACCACCCTTCAAACACAATACTTGCACAAACATCCACATTCGCATATATTTTGATAACAAAAGAGATTTGAACAGCAGCCTTAATGTTATGTACTGTTAATTTCAACGGCTCCACACACATTTATTTCATCGTCTCAATGCTAAACGAAAACAAATGCAAAAGAAACACGTGCTACTTAATACTTACGTGTTATTTTTCTTGATGTTTATAAAAATAACTGCTAATAATTAGCAAAGATGTTGTTAGAAAAGTTCTGTTACAATTCCGAAATGAAAAGATTGTTTTTGCACATAGTTGTATGAGATTGATATTGAAAAAAAGTCACTGACGAACAAAGAGAAATGAAACAAAGTTATATTTAAAATTAAATCTTCATAAAAAATATTCATTGAGAGTTTTTTATTAAATAATCATAACTCGTGGCAATTTTATAACAGAATTATTCAAATTTGAATAGGGTCTATAGCAACCTCTTTCACATTCATTCACTTTGCAGTTCGAGGAAACACGGTTCATGCTTTTTAATAATATAAATTTTTCATTTATAGTCAAATCGCTTATATTACTTACCAGAGCAACTTCTATTACCACCATTTCCACCTTCTACCAGCACCACTACTACTACTATTACTAATACTACTTTTATAAATTATTTTCTGTTTATATGCAGAGATTGTGTGACATTCACTGAAGATCACATATAGAACGTTTTTACATAAATTGATATTTCTCCGTTGTCATTCCACAACCTTCCAACTTCATTCTAAAAATAATAATAATAATAATAATGACGATGAGAATCAAAATAGCTCAAGATAATGAGTGTATATCTACATATATATAAATGAAACAGTGAAACGATTAAAAATTATGATCAAATATAATATAATATAATAATAATAATAGTAATAATAATAACATTCATTTTATTTATAAGTTTATTAATAACGTTCGTCATTTATCAAGTGCTTGTGGTAGCCGTGTAACTATTGATAAAATAAAAGTACAAACAAGTGTTAACTATTTCAATCACGTTAATTATTATGGTTAAATTGTGGTTGAATTGTGGTTGAATTGTGGTTGAATTGTTGTTGAGTTGTGGTTGAGATGAAGACCCTCCATCTTACGTCAAGAATGATAAAATGTTAAAAGTTTTTATCTGTCTTTTTGGCACCAATAGAGGGATAAAATTATTAGCTCAATAATGCGAAAGAGTCTTAGAGGCTATAACAAAACATTGCCCCTGTTTTTGCTATTGAAATTAAATACTTTGCTTAAAAAATAAATAAAAGTATCTTTTGAATCAGTAGTTAATTTCTCAATGGGCATAATAATATTTAAAGAAAATTTCTTCAAAAAAGTAAAACAAATTGAGAAAATGACACTAAAAACATTAAAACTACAAACTGAATAACATTCCCAAAACTACAACCGTGTAAAATTTATTTACTATTTCAAATAATTTATTTAACAAATGTACCCCCAATATCAAAAGTTTAATTGCAGACCTTACATATTTGTATGCATGCAACGTTATACGCCTTATCAAGTGTATTAAGATAAGGAAACATGTTATGGTGTGAAAGCGACAGATAATGAAGAAATTAAACATTCGTCTGTTCAATTTGTTGTTCATCGAAGCAAGCGCGTATTTCATGTTAACTCTGAGACCAGACTCACTGATATGTAAACATTTCAAGACACTGTATAAAAAACTTTAAAGTATACGCAAATTATATATAAATAATATATGTAGCTAATTATATATATATATGTAAATGTAACCACATTTATGTATTTATTTCATATCTATGATATTCAATATCTTTGTTATATGTTTGATCTTTGTTTGGGTTTCGATAAATGTGCTTCGATAAATGTGCTGCGATAAATGTGCTGCACCACGTGATTGACATATTTTATAATTTATTTGATTTATGAGTTTCGTATGAATAAGCCTGTAATTGATTACTGTTTTACAGGTATGTTTTCATTAATTTATATCTCTGTATTATTTTATATTATTTGATTATATGACATTTAATTTGTTTGAATAAACTGTTTTACAGATTAATAAATCAGGTTTATTTAGAAACAATCTTACAAATCAATTACAAGTTATATTCCAAAAAAAAAAAAAAAAAAAAGAGAAAGAAAGAAAGAAAGAGAAGATGTCTTCAGATAAGTTATTTTTTTATATTATAAAAAGAAACGATAATTTCGAATTGACGGCTTTGTCAGAAAATAAATTAGCGTGGTATAATTTGCCCGATGATTATAAAGATTTGGCTGAACATAAAGTTTTATGCTCAAAGCGAGTGATAAAAAATACAATTATGACAATAAAACCGATTAATGGTTACCGCAAAATTGGCATAACGATTGATGACGAATTAAGAAAAGAATATTATGACGAAGACGGCAATTTATGCTTTTTAAACATGCCACTAGAAGAAGCTAATATAAGTAATGAACACGTGGTTGCTGATAAATCGGATGAGAAAAATTTTTTAATCGAAAAAATTAAAGAATTGGAAGCGAAATTAAATTTAGATAATAAATTTAAATTGCATGATGTTGAAAAAAGGTTTATTTTAGACAAATTTAATAAAAGTCAAAATGTTAACGATTGGCTAGAAAAATTTGAAAACGAGTGTATAAGACACAAAATATTCGACGCTACCAATATGATAGAAGCACTTCGATTTTTTTTATCGGGTTCAGCAGAAAATTGGTACGACGCAAATATAATAAAAATTGGTTTAACTAATTGGTCAGAATGGAGAGCATCGTTTCTCACAGTATTTGCTGATAAAGGTTGGAAAAAAATAAGAACGGCATACAATTTTAAATATCTAGGCGGTTCACTAATAGATTATGCTTTAGCCAAGGAAAGCTTATGTTTAGAAGCTGAATTAAACGCCACTACGATATCAAGAATAAATATGATCGTCATCGGCTTACCACTAGAAATTCAGAACCAACTTGACCGTGAAGAAATCACAACGATTGAAAAATTGTACAGAGAATTGCGAAGACTCGAGGAAAGCATTCACATAAAACAAAGATTCCGAAACAATTCTTCAGACAAAGAAAATACAATCAAAACAAATGCGTATATACAAAAGAACAATGCAGATACTAAAATTAAGTCAGAAAACCAAAAAGCAAGATATGGAATTCATTCTTTGAATAATGAAACTATAAATAAGTCAAATTTTGCTACATCAGAAAAAAATATTTATCCAAAAATAAAGTCAAATTTTAATACATCAGAAAAAAATATTGATCCAAGAATTAAGAAACCATGTTTTATATGTGAAGAACTAGGTTGGAAAAATCGATATCATCCAACTAACG